ATAGTTGTTGTTACCACGCTAGATACAAAAGATGTTGAAAACCAAGAAAAAAGTTTTGAGGTCTTTTAAGTCTTCTAGTTTTGAAACAAAAGCGGGCTACTGTAACACCCCGAACCGTTCTCGACATAGACCGACCCGAGAATGCCGTAGTTGGGGTTCGAGAACAATTAGCCCTCAGTGCTAGAACAAATCAGGCACTTATATCAAACCTTTCTCGAACACTGATACCACCTGAACGGGGCCTAAGGCTTACCCGTACCAGGTTCACATATTGTGTTAGTGCGGACATGACTAATATCATCGAACCCTGCAACTTTTACTAAAAACATCATTTATTACATTATTATTATTTGAGAAAACATTACAAATCATATAGATCCGGACAAGCCTAATGGGCAAAGACTGGTACATATTACATACACATCAAAACCATAATTTTGCAAAAGACATCCAAAAACTACTCTGACGGTCATAACATCCCGGTCTCCCACTAAGGCTTCCCTCTACTGGTTACTTGAAAGAAAAAGGGGGTGAGTAATCTAATGTTACTCAGTGAGTCCGGTCCCTCTAAAACAAGCGTTAGTCCCCAATCCAACCCCAAAACACAATCAACAAGCAATCGGTCAAGAGTAATACAGATGCGATGCTACACACCAATGCATCTAACACAACTAGCATGGATCTCACATCCTAGGATCCACTACGATGCTACCCGTCCGCATGAAAACCTATATAGCAGTCACAAATACACACGAAATAGATTAACATCTTCTAGCCAGCCGCTTAACAACACTCGGCTATGGTGATCAATCAAGTCCCTCGGCCGCACTACCTTCACGTATCCTTGGCCATGATTATCACCAAGTCCCCCGAGTTTCCTAACTTCATGTAGGTGCGTTTTGAGTATCGAGACGCTAACCTACGACTCGACCTCCCAATCAAACAATCTAGCCCCCGAGAATCCAAGGATTCCCGTGACAACATGCAAGATCCACAAATATACATGAAATGAACAACAACAACATGCAACTCATTAACACACAAATACTTAGTAAAAGCACACAATTTACTAAGAATCTCGCGACTTCCTCTGATCTAGAACCTCTAGAACCTCCGATCTTCACATGCATGATGCTGTTGGGACGAATCATCAAATGCATGTTCAGAACCTCAAGTTCATCTTAGATCATTACATGCATGATGCCGGTGGGACGAATCATTAATGCATGCATAAAAAGATTTAACCTGCAAAAATAAACCATTAGCGCAAGCAAGTTACCGAGACTCGCAGCTTTCTACTTCGAGTGGTCCTTGACTCGATTACTTCTACAAGGTTTGCTCCTAACTTGGACACAATAGCTACGGTAAAGCTAATTTTTCACAGGAATTGAATTAATTGGTTGTGTCTTCTTCTTTGTCGTGTAGTGATATAATGCGTTTTAGCGCGTTCTAACGCTTGTTTTGTAGATTTTTATCGAGTCTTTCATTCTATTTTGAGTCATTTTAGGTCAAAAAGAGGCTGGAATGGAGGATTGAAGCTCATGAAGAGACTTGGCAAAAAAGAGGAAAACTGGATCTTTTTGAAGATTCTGAAGATAAGGAGCACCCGCTCCCGATCGGCTGACCTGCTCTGCAGAAGATCCACTTTTGGAAAATTTCATTAAACCTATTTTCGCCACCGAGGGTTTCCATATAAATCCTAGCCGCCCAGACCTAAGGGGACCCCGTGTTTTTGATCGAACTAACAGAGAGAACACGAGTGAGAGAGATTGGATACTTTGTTTTTAGAGTTTTATAAGATTTGAAGATTGTCTTCCAT